GGGGATTGAACTCAGTCCCTTGTGCCTGCCAGGGAAGCACTATTTCCACTGAGCCATCTCCCTGGCCCTTCTTATAAATTTTTTTTTAAATGTATTTGGTATGGGATCTCACTATGCAGCTTGGACTCATAATGATCCTCCTGTTTTCAGCCTCCCTAGAGCTGGGATTATAGGTATGCGCCACCACATTTGGATTATCTTGTATTTTCTTATGAATTTTAGGTTCACTTGTCAATTTCTATAAAATGGCATTTGGAATTTTGGTAGATGCTGTACTAATCTTTAGATATCTTCCCACACATGAACATGGAATTTTTTCCCATTTATTTAGATATTCTTTAATTTATTATAAGGACTTTTTTAAGGTTCATTGTGTGGTAAAAGTTGTTCAGTTATTTTGGCAAATTGATCACTGAGTATTTCATTCCTTTGATGTGACTACATGCATAACTCCTTTTTAAAAATTTGTGCTGAGATTATTCATTGCAAATGTAGAAATACTGTATAGAGAAAGAATTGATTTGTGTATGTTGATTATCCTGCCACCTTGCTGAGTCTATTTATTTATTAATTCTAAGTTAGAGGTGGGAAATGCTTTAGGGTTTTCTATACCCAAGATGGTCTGTGTATGGCGAGGCTCTGGGGAGAAGGAGCAAGGGGACGGGTGGAGAAAGGGAGTGAAACGACCCAGATGTGATCTGTATATGAACAAACTCACCAAGATGAATACAATTAATAAATATCAGAAACATATTAAAAATTTAAAAAATGAAAACATAGCGCTTCTAATATTCCAGTATTTTATTTAATAAAGGATTGTATAATGTGTGGGAAGAGACAATGTTGCCTCATCTTTCCTACCTGAATGTCTGATTTCTATTCTAATAGGCGGGCTGGGAACTCCAGTATAGGAGTGAGTAGAGGGGTGTCTTAGTGACTTCTCTCATTGCTGAGACAAAATACCCAAAACCTAAAGTTAGAGGAAGGACGATTTATTGGAGCTCACAAGCTGTAGAGGTTTCAGTTCATAGTTGGCTGACTCCAAGGCGAGATCACGGGACAGAGGGGGCATCACAGAGGAGAGGCAGCTCCTACTAGGCAGAGGCCCACGAAACAGTGAAGTAATGAAGAAGCAGTAACGAGAGACAAGTGGCAAGCACAGCCCTCTCCGTGTCTTGTATTCTATCCGGCCTACCTGCCCCTAAGGTGGGTAGCTCTCACGGCCAGGCCTGGGCAGCCTTAACGCTAACATCACAAAATGAAACAGTCCCAGCATCACATACACCAGCTCCAGCCACCTCCCCAAACTTCCACTTCTGACCATATGAAGCTTTGGGGGATCTCTAGACACAAACCATAACAAGGGCTGTGAGCAGATGCCCTTGCCCTGTTCTTTGCCTTGGCAGGAAAGAACCAGCCTTTCAGTATTAATATGGCCAGTTGCAGGGTTTTTTGGATACCATTTATTAGGTTGAGAAACTGCTTTCTGTTCTTTGTATGTTGAGCTTTTTGTGATGAAGGGATATTGGATTTTGTCAGATGTCTTGATTTATTCTTTTTTTTTTTTTTTAATCTGCCCTTGTTGGCTTATACCTCATGGTGGAAAACAGACAAAAAATAACTAAGAAAAATATTTGAGCAACTCATGCTGAGCCTGGAACTAGCAGGCCCTTAGTAAAAATGTATTGCCATAGAGAACAAATGAACATGACATGTAGATGAACCACATCAGTTAAACAGCTCAGATTTGGAGTGACGTGGTTAAATTATAGATGAGTGGAGAATAACAAGAAGGGTGGGCCATTTAGGGAAGGCTTTATGAAGGGTGTAGATCTTGGACAACAGGTAGAATTTAATTAAATAGTAAAGGGTCATTCTGAGTTGGGACTATGGGAGGAACAACATGCACAGACCCACAAGTGGATCATTCATTTGGGATAGATTGGCTGGAGAGCTGTGAGCAGTAATAATGCAAATGTAAGTTAAGGCCAGGCATGGAGGATTCTAAGTAAAGGAATTCATGTAAAGGAACGTTCCTTTTATATGATTTGGAATGGTATCTTGAAACTTTTAAAGCCAAAGAATGACATAATCAAATTGTATCTAGTAATGTGTTAAGGGGTAATGGTAGGAGGCGACACAGCCAAGGGTAGACCTGTCAGAAGTAGTATGGTCACTAGGAACTAGGGAAGAATGGAATTACATGTAGATAGAAAGGATAGACGGATGTGAGAGACATTTTAATGGAAAAAGTGGGGGCATTTGGTGGCATACAAATGGATAGAGACTGAGATGAGTGTAATTTTTTTTTCTTCTTTTTTCCTTTGGTACTGAGGATTGAACTTGGGAGTTTGAGCTTGCCAAGCAGGTGCTTATGCCACTGAGCTATATCCCTGGCCCTCAGGAGACTATAATTTAAAGCTGTGTCCACCCCTACATTACTGAGCACAATGACAAAACCATGATCAAATAAGAAGTTGGAAACAGATCCCTTCTGAAAGAGGCACACTTGGAGAACAGTGAAGTCAGTGTGTTAGCAGGAGCTCCAGAGAGCAGGGGTGGAATTTTCCTCAGCATCCAAGTTCCCAGGAAACTGGGCCCATGAGATTGGTGGTTGTCAGAAAGTTTTCAAATCGCTGAACACAGGGCAGCTAGTACAGGGTCAGGACCAAAGGTTGCTGACCCAGTGTCTTGCTCCCAGGCTTAGAGGATAAATCAGGGGCAAGTAAGATTGTTGACTTCAGGCCAAGAAAGTCACTGTAGGGATAAATTTGAAGATATGCTGGGCTAAAAGGAGGAATTAAACTTGGCTAGGTCTGCAAAAGAAGTCGGACAGTGGCTGAAAATCAGTTATCTCCAGGAGGACATAAGGAAGAAAGGGATACAGGGTCAGAGAAGTAGGGGAGGAAAGGAGAAAAAAGAAAGGGAAGGTGGGAGGAAGGAAAGAAGGAGAAATACTCAATGCCCAAAATTAAGGGAAGAGAGGTTTATTTAGCTCACAGTTAGTGGAGGTTTCAGCCCATAATCAGCTGGGTCCAAGGCAGGATGGTGTGGCAAAGGACAACAGTTCTTGGCAGAAAAGACAACAATAGCTACGACAGCAGAAGGGGCAACAAAAGGGGGACAAGACAGGGGAGCAAGACTCTTTCCTTCCCTTATGTTGTGTGCAGGCTACTCACCCCAGGGCGAATGTGGCACTCACACCCATAATCCCAGCATTGGACCATGACTCAATCACAAATTCTAGAAGCCCACCCCATGAAAGCATGAGACTTCGGGGGAGATCTAGGTATAAACCGTAACGGTGATGAACAGGATTGGATCATGCTCCACAATTCCACTGTCTTGCTGCCTCATCACAGGCCTAGAGGTGGCCCTCACAGACCTCCAGAGCTCCTGGAACAATGTGTACCACCACACAGAGGACATGAGTGTGGACCACCTCCTTGTTCGCCGGGGCCAGGCCTTCAACATCACCCTGTACTTCAGAAACCGTGGCTTTCAGCCAGTTGTGGACAATATCATCTTTGTGGTTGAGACTGGTGAGACCCTTCCTCAGTTAGCTCACAAGCAGTGTGTGTGTGTCTCTGTGTGTGTGTGAGAGAGAGAGAGAGAGAGAGAGAGAGAGAGAGAGAGAGAATGTGTGTGTGTGTGTGCCTAGAAGGATCTTAGAGAGTGGGCTGGGCTGGGAAGTCACCAGAGACGATGTCAGCTCTACTTTTCTCCCAGGACCCCTGCCAGACCCAGCCAAAGGGACTCGGGCAGTGTTCAACTTGGGACACCATGGTGGCCCACACTCCTGGATCGCCCTGCCAGAGACACAGGGGGACACCTCCCTGGAAGTGAGCCTGTGTGCCCCGCCCTCGGCAGCTGTGGGTCGGTACTTGCTGAAACTTCACATCAATTCCTTCCAGGGATCAATCACAGCCTACAAGCTTGGGGAGTTCATCCTGCTCTTCAATCCCTGGTGCCCAGGTGAGCCTGAGGCCTATGGGGGCTCCATCTCTGGCGCACACAGCAGGGCTTGAGGGTTTCAGGTCCTCCTCCCTGGCCACCACAACACTGCACCTTAACTGAGGCAACCATCCCAACTACCAACCACCCTGGCAGGGAGACCTCACTATGTATTTATTTAGAATCTTTAAATTAAGAGACCAATAATCTTTACCTAAGTAGAACATTATTATAATTAAGTTCCACCACTGTTATTATAATTAAGCTCTCTTCATCAAAAATTTTGAACTTTACTTAAGTTTTCATTTTCTTTTTTCTTTTTAATGTATTTAGTACATGGTCTCCAGGGTCTCACTACGTAGATTGGACTTGTAGTGATTCTCCTGTTTCCAGCCTCCCAAGTGCTGGGATTACAGGCACATGCCACCACGCCCAGTCTCAGTCAACATCTCAGTGCGCCCCAGATGTGGGGCCAGCATGGCACACTGGGGATTGAACTCCCTTTTTTAATTTTTTTGAGACAGGGTCTCTCTAACTTACTAAATTGTCCAGGCTGGGAAGGAACGTGCAAGTCCCCCAACTCATTCCTGGAATGCTTGGTGTGCACCACTATGCCTAGCAGAATTTTTTTTTTTAATTTTCTGTATTTGGTACAGGGTCTCACTACACAGCTCAGACCCATAGTGATCCTCCTGTTTCAGCCTCCCCAGCATTAGGATTACAGGTGTGCGCTACCACACCTGATCCTGGTGGCTGGCTTGACACGCTCAGGGCAGGGCTGGCAGAGCATGTGGTACCAAGGATTGAACCGGGGTCCTTACGTTTGCCAAAGCAGGCACTTAGACAGCTGAGGTATCTCCACAGCCCCTACATTGAATTTTTGAAGAATGAAGTAAACCAGAAAACAGGAAGGAACAAAAAATAGGAAGAGAGGGAAGGAAAAAAGAGGAAAAAACATAAGGTGAAAAGTAAAACCTCTCAGTCTTCAAGTTCTATTATCCAGTAGAAACACTAGAAACACACAAGCACAGCCTTATGAAAGATTCTATACTTCATCAAATATGCCTCTGTGTATCTATGACACATATTGTGAGTGGGATTTTAGAAACACATGTTAAATTTAACTTGTACTTCCATGTAAGTATTCAAATGTAGACATATTTTCCTTCTGAACATTTTCCTTAATGTTTGCAATCATTCCACTGCTTGGATATACTAAATATTTATAAGCAGGTCCCTATTCCTGGGTGCTTGCGCTGTTTCCAGTCATTGTCTAGTATGAACACAGCTGCAGCAAGTATCCCTGCGCCACCTGTCTCACAGGTCCTGTCCTCTAACCCTGACTGGGGTCAAGGGTAGATATGTGGATGAATCTGAGGACAAGAGGAAGCACAGGTCAGGAGAGAGGAGTGGGAAGAAGGGGGGAAGATTTGCGAGGGCGCGGGTCTGCTGCACTTGAGGCAGGGGCCAGACTCATCGAGTCTTGCTTCTGCCTTACCGTGAGGCTGAGCCTCTTCCCATCCTCCTCATTTTATAGGCTCTCGGACCTTATCCTGAGGAGGGCTGCTAGGTCACTTTGGCACCCAGGACCCCAGCTAGGTTCTGATACTACCACCTCCTACCTCCCATTTTCAGA